TCCTGTGGGCACGGGTCACTACCTGGCCCCCAGCCTGCCAAGGTCAAGCCCGCTGTGTGCAGCTGAAAGGGGCCTCGTCCTTTGCTGCACCCCCGTGCTATGTGCCAACTCATGTGACAACTGTGACACGCCATTGTTTGTTACCCCCCACACATCCTCCCGACCCGAAGGCAGTCTTTGCGACTCCTTGGCTTTCTTCTGTTGCTCTCATCGATGAATAAACAAGCCACAGAGGCTGAAGGTCACCCCAGTAGAGAGTATGGAAACAGGCATAGGCACCCATAGCCCCTGCCCAAGCTTCAGAACAAGAGGCCAAGGAAACCGGCATCCCGCCCACCAACCTGTTCTCAAAAAAGTGTAAAGCCCCAAGCTGACATCTTTGGAGAAATAAGATGTTCGTGGGAGACCATCTACCAACAAGAAGCCAGCTTTTCGATAGCGTACCAGAATTGATGATGTCCTCTGGGGACTTGGCCGTGTAATTTAGAAACCTTGATTAGGCGGGATTTTTGATGGCAGGCGTGCCGAGCAGAATCCAATATTCCCAGGAAAGCCTTTAAATCATTTATCAGAGGGAGAGCTGTATTAATTCAGAAGTTATTTTTAATTACAGCTAAGCTCTGCACAACATCTGATCAGGCGCTGTCTGCCCGACCACATCCTCGGTCATGGTCCCCACCCCGGGAAAGCCAGCGATATTAAAAATCTGAGGGATAGATAGCAATTCTTAATAACAAAACAGGACTGGTCTGCACAGGCATCAAAACATTATTCCTGTGTTCTCCTGACGAAGATGTCTCTCTCGCTGCCTCTGGAAGCATTTTTAATTTATTTTATTTTCTAATCATAGAAAGGAACAAGATATACTAAGGAAGACAAAAATTGGACTAATTGACATTAGATGTGAGCCACACCTAACTGTTCCAACTCATGCATAAATGCAACTTACAGACAAACCTTGGAAGGGAGGGTGTTCGGAATCTGGGGGAACTGCCAGTCAGGGTTTACCCAACATCCCATTCACCTGCCATCCAGGTGCACAGAGCCTGTCTGGCCCTTTCGCGACACACAGCTCTCCCTGTACCTTTTCAGAGTAATCAGATGGATGATTTTCAGTAAAAGAGGTAGGGGGACATGGTCTTTGTTGAATCTCTGTTAATGTTTTGATCTTTTCTCTCCTATGCTGGAGGACTTAAAAACTACACAGCTTTTCTTTGAAATGAATAACTTTTTTTTTAATCATTTTAATTGGGGGCTCATACAACTCTTATCACAATCCATACATACATCCATTGTGTCAGTCACATTTGAAAATTTGTCTCCATCATTCTCAAAACATTTTCTTTCTGCTTGAGCCCTTGGTATATCAGCTCCTCATTTTCTCCTCCCTCATGAAGCCTTGATAACTTATAAATGATTATTTTGGTCATGTCTTACACGGTCTGATGTCTCCCTTCACCCACTTGAAACGAATAACTTAGAGGGAAAGCACCCTACAGAAAAGAAACACCAAAGCACCCTTACCCAGACACCGTGCATATACTCCAGCACATTTCTTCCTGGCTGTCTTCTTTATTTCCTCTCCCCTGAGATGGTACTAGTCTTTTATAAATCGGTCTCTGTGATAACCTAGAGCCAATTTGAATGGAAAGGTATGGGCAGAGAAGCCAGCACAGTAGCCCAGCAGTCTTGCTGTTCACCGATAATTAAATTTCTCTGTCTTCTACTTTTCTTTCCCCAGCTACATCCGCTACTCGCAGATCTGTGCAAAAGCTGTCAGGGACGCCCTGAAGGCCGAATTCAAAGCCAATGCTGAGAAGACTTCTGGCCACAGCGTGAAGGTTGTGAAAGTGAAGAAGGACTAATCTGTAAGTGTGGGTTATTGAGAAAGAGAGATGCATCCTGGAACTGGTGTCAGTGCTTTAAAACTCACAGCAGTTTTACTTCTCAAGACATTCCCAAACCCCCCCCCCCTTTTATTTTTTATCTTTTTAGTCAATAGGTACATTTAGAAGTTCGTTAGTGGGGAAATAATTGAAAACTTGCAGCTTTCAGAGGTCTGGCATAATAAAAGGAATGTTGTCCCCAGTCCGGCAAAGAGGAGTGATTGGCACATTGGTTTTCAGTTGGTTTGGCGTCAGCCACTTGCCATAAGAGGCGTTTCGTTTGCACGAGGTGTGATTGTCGGGAAGAGGAACTGACCCAGCGCTGTGATCACTGCTGGCCTAACGGGACTGCCAGGAGCACGGAGAATTGCTCTCACAAGCCACCCTTCCTGCACACAGGCTGGAAGCACAGGCCCTGAAAGCCACTGGGCCGCAGCAAGCCTGGTTTTGCTCGGTGCCTTGCCTTCAGGGAATTCAGTTCATTGTACTTCTCCCAGGATGTTAGCAACATCCGGGTCCCTCTCAGCCCACAGAGCGGAGAGCCGTGTGCACCACCCTCCTGGGTGTGCTGCGAGCTTTCTTGACGTTATTTCAGAGAGAAGCCAGGCAAATTATCGGAGGAGTGGTTTTTTCTCTTGTTTCAGATTAATTTTCGTGACTTGTTTCAGGAGGGCCTCAGATCCACAGTAGCAAGGCAAGGTAATAAATATTAATCCTCTGGCAGCTTGGGCTTGTGAGTAATTTTACTTCTGGAACTACCTCCCTTCAGCACTTTTCATTTTCATTTCACATTGGTAAATATTTTATTAAAAGGCTGGAGGTGGGATGTTTTGGAATGAGCCCCCTTTTTTCACCCCCCTCACCAGGAGCTCTCTATCTAATCTGATCACAATGCTTAATGAAACCTGAAAGGAGGGGGTGGGATGGGGAAGGGTTGCAGTGAGCTGGCTGAGAAAATCACTTAGCCCCCCTCTCTGTCATGCTGCTGAGCCAGGCTTGTGGTCATGAAGTCCTGTCCAGTCCCTGCAGGAAAAATAATGGCCCCTCTCCTTTATTGTCCCCCCCAAGGGGTGGTGCCTGCCCCACTCCTTAGAACACAAAAAGTGAGTTACTTCTTTTGAAAGTAGAGTCGAGTCTTTATTGCCCGAAGAGGGTTTAATGTTCCTGAACCGGGAAGCACCTGTCCAATCCCCAGGCCCAGGGGCTGAGGGGCAGCTCCGCTCTATTGTCCCAGGTCCCTGTGGCAGAGGAAGATGCTGACCACAGTCATGGCAGGTTCTGTAAGAGAAACTAGGAACAGCAACTGTTGCATTTTCTTTTTCCTCCTAGACCCAGACTAAAGCTTGAAATGCCACCTGGCCGAGGAGAAGCCGTGTGGGCCGTCTTGTGGCAGAGTGAACGGCGTCTCTCCGGTGGGGGTAGGGGTGGGGTGTTCTGTCTGGTAAGAGATGAACAATAAACTGACGTGTGGCTGACTGGTTTCTCTCCGGCTCGGTCTTGATCCACGTGTGCAAGACAGCAGCAGCGTGATTCTGACCCCGGCCTGGGGTTCAGGAAGGAGAGGACAGCGTTACCATGTAGTGCCCCGAGGGCTTAGGTTACAGGCTTTGTGGGCCTAGTCTGCCCGGTCACTTGACTGCCTGGGCCCTTATCTGCATGGCAGAAATCACACCTGACTCAGATGGGTCAGTAGCCCCGCCCACACCCTTTTGCCTCCGCAGCTGCGTCTCGGGTGCTGTTCAGCCAGAAGACTGAGTGCCCGTCCTCACCGCGCACAGCCGAGGGCAGAAGAATGACAGTGCTTGTGCACGGAAGGACTGGCGCAGAGGAGTCCAGCCCCCGGGCAGTGACCAGGGCCCTGCACCCCTAGCCTCTGACCTGGAAGGTTCCCCCACCTGCTGATTGAGTTAACTGCCTAGTCCAAATGCCACCTGAGGCTGGGCAGGCGGGCCGGGCCGCAGGGCGTGCGCAGGGCGCCATTCGTTGCTTCACTCACTCAGGGAAGCACTGTTGCAGGTGGTGTGTTTTTATCGCCCTCTGACACCGGAAACACTGGGCCAGTAAGACAAAGCGGAGGGCTGGGGTTTTCACTGTTTGGAGAAAACTTCAACAGGAAAGGTTGGAGCCGGGCCAGCTTGCGCACTTGCCCCACCCCACTGCCCGGTGGGACCTGCGATCCCGGTGGGTCACAGCAGGGGCCTGGCTGGCGGAAAGGCCTTTGTCCAGCGTTTCCTGAGGCGACTTTGGCCCCAGGCCAGCCCTTGACATCCTGGTTCTGCTCCTTGCAGCCATGGGAGGAGGGGCCCCAGGCTGAAGGGGGAAGCAGTGCCCCGGCCCCACCAGGGTCAGGAGTTCCTGGAGTCCATTGCCTCAAGGTGGTCGTCCTGTTTTTGAAGCCAGAGGACCTCAGTGTCAGCATCGGGGCTGCAGAAGTACCCTTTGTCACCAGGGACAAGTGAGCGGTCTTGAGATGGTGGGGCCCATCGTACCGGGCAAAGGAAGGCCCGAGTGACTCCCGACTAGGGCCCATCCATTAGGGAGCAGGTCTAGAGAGGAGGTTTAGGCACTGGGGGTCTGCAGGGAAAGCTTTCACAGCCTCTGTTGGCATCCACAGGAAGTGGGCTCCCCACACCCTAGTCTACTTACGGACCCCAGGCAAACACAGGCAGGGGGTTCTGAGGTGGCTGTCCCATCCCTACTCTGGAGAGGGGTGAAGGTGTTGGGCAAGCTGGCTGTCCTGGGATTCCACCATGTTGTTCCTTGCTGAGCAACGTCGCCATAGCAACCAGACTGGCTCAAGGACCCCCACTTGTCAAAACCAGAGGAGCCCTTTCTCTTGTTTCTAGTTAATTTACACACACACAACGCACAACACTTTCTACCACACGAGAGAATAGCATGGTGAGATGCGTTTTTGCGATATTTTTAACTACTCAAATTAATCAGTCTGGGCTGTTAAGCTCCAAGAAAAGGAATTTATTTAGTCTGAAATAAAGCAATTTAGCCATTTAAAATTGAATCTCCTACTTTAACGACCACCATTGAGCAAACAAATCTTTGCAGCCACATAAATCAGCCGAAGTGGTTTTTCGTTTTGATTTTCTAAAGCTCTCAATCTTGTCTTGCCTTGCATCTATATGACTGCACTTTGTGATTGTGAGAACGCCCCTAGGCAAGCGTGTGCCTCAATTATTACATAATCCCAGGGTGTAAATCAGTCCTCAGGGAGCCAGGAGCTTGGGCCCAGCTGCCACCCTAGAGAGCTGCCCATTCTCCGTAATCTGCATGTGTTTTTACTGCCTCTTGAACCCGTATAGAAAGTGTTTGAAACAATGGGCTTTTTTGCTTGTTTCTTTGATAGTTTGGTGGGGTTTTTTTGGTTGGGTTTGGGGGTGTGTAGAAGAGTGTGTGTGTGTGTGTTGGAGGACGCTGGTCTGTGCTGCCCACAGCCTGCAAGGCTTGAGTTTGTCTGCATTTTGGGGTACCCACCCCACACGCTGATGTGGAAAAAAGGGTCCCTTTGTTAATTCCCAGTGTAAGTCGGAATGCGGACCCCAGGGGGTCCGTATCTGCACAAGGTGGGCTTCCCCATCTTCCCATTCCTTACCCCAGAGCTCAGTGACAATTCCAGAAGGCCGAGAGCCCCCTCACAGTCTGATTACACGTGTGTGTGTTTGAGCTTGTCTTTGTGTGCACAGATTATAGCCGTGTGATGGCTAAAAAGCGGTGTCAATGCACAAACGTGGGTGACAACTCCGGCAAATTAATTTGAACTGTCAAAGCCCCCTAATGAGGCGGCGACCCCTGTCCCTGGGAAGGACGCCGCAGCTGCCTCCGTGGAAGCTGGCCTTGCCCTTTCTCCAGAGTGAAAGGGCACTGTCCACATAATGAGTTTCTGGTCGGTGAGGAGACGTGTTCAAAGCTTTGCTGGGGAGAAACGCAGGCGCCCTTGTCTGGTGCAGCCCGCTTGCAGTGAGACAGGAGGGGCTGCAGGGGCTACACCCTCCTGGAGTCCAAGGAAGAAAAGGGATGGGGGGGGGGGGGATTCCCGAGCAGGCGAAGGGCCCGGCAATGTCCAGGCCCGAGGTCCATCATTAGAGAGGGAGAGCCAGCTGGAAGGCCAGAGATGTAGCCTCCCAGCCGGCCACCAGGAAGGGTCCCAGGGAAAGGTCAGTTGCCCCGACAGTGGTGGCCACACAGCCGGACGCCTGGCCCGGGCTGTGCTGACGGCAAATACCTGAGAGGCAGTTTTGTTTTAAGAAGGAGAGCACTTTACAGTGGATTTATTTTGCTATTGAATGCCGAGCCAACAGCGCAGTGCCCTGTCCACCAGCCCCTGCCAGCTCAAGACCCCTGCCCTCCCGCCCCTCCCTGCCAAGTGCACACAGCCCCTTGTCCCGTCCTTAACGTCCCCCGCCCTGCGGCTCCTCCTCCTCCCCTCCGGAGGCCTCTTCTTCTTCCTTCTCGCCCCCCTTGGCGTCCTGAAACTGCTGGTACTCGGACACCAGGTCGTGGACGTTCCTCTCGGCCTCCCCGAACTCGCTGATGTCCATGCCCTCGCCCGTGTACCAGTGCACGAAGGCCCTCCTCCGGAACATGGCCGAGAAGTGCTCGGACACCCGGGTGAACAGCTCCTGGATGGCCGTGCTGTTGCCGATGAAGGTGGCGGCCATGCTGAGCCCCCGGGGCGGGATGTCGCACACGGCCACCTTGACGTTGTTGGGGATCCAGTCCACGAAGCAGCCGCTGTGCCGGGTCTGCACGGCCAGCAGCTGCTCGTCCACCTCCCTGGTGGACATCTTGCCCCGGAAGATGCAGGCCACCGTGAGGTAGCGGCCGCGGCGGGGGTCGCAGGCGGCCATGACGTTGCGAGCATCGAACATCTGCTGGGTGAGCTCGGCCACGGTCAGGGCGCGGTACTGCTGGCTGCCCCTGCTGGTCAGCGGCGCGAAGCCCGGCATGAAGAAGTGCAGGCGCGGGAAGGGCACCATGTTCACGGCCAGCTTGCGCAGGTCGGCGTTGAGCTGGCCCGGGAAGCGCAGCGACGTGGTGATGCCGCTCATGGTCAGCGACACCAGGTGGTTGAGGTCCCCGTAGGTGGGCGTGGCCAGCTTGAGGGTGCGGAAGCAGATGTCGTAGAGCGCCTCGTTGTCGATGCAGAAGCAGGCGTCCGCGTTCTCGATGAGCTGGTGCGCGGCCAGCACGGCGTTGTAGGGCTCCACCACCGTGTCCGAGACCTTGGGCGAGGGCATGACGCTGAAGGAGTTGAGCACGCGGTCGGGGTACTCCTCGCGGATCTTGTTCATGAGCAGCGTGCCCATGCCCGAGCCCGTGCCGCCGCCCAGCGAGTGCACCACCTGGAAGCCCTGCAGGCAGTCGCAGCCCTCGCTCTCGGCGCGCACCACGTCCATCACGCTCTCCATCAGCTCCGCACCCTCCGTGTAGTGGCCCTTGGCCCAGTTGTTGCCAGCCCCGGAGTTCCCTGTGGCAAAGAGCGGGCGTCCAGTGAGTGACCTGGAGGAGCCCCCATGGCCGGGCCACCAACCGCGAGGGTGGCAATTCGGGCCCACCCAGCAGCTTCAGGGGAGAGAGACAGCAATCTGGCACACATGCGAAAAGAAGACGGCGGAGGAACCCCAGTGGGCTGGCTCTGCTCTGCCCCAGAGGGCCTCCCCAAGTCCTAGTCCACTCCACCACATCCAATAGCAATAAACAAGAGGGTCGGCTCACTCAGAGTAAAGGGGTCAAAGTCAAAAACCAAACTCCCTGCCGCCCAATCAATTCCCATTCATAGCCACCCTACAGTAGCACAGGGCCTGCAAGAGGCAGGAGCCGGAAGCCCCATCATTGACCAGCTGTTGGGTTTGAACTGCTGGCCTGGCAGGAGCAGCCCACCACCTGAGGTCTGCCCCCGGGGCTCCTCAAGTACAGGGATGGGTGGTGGGAGAAAGGGCACCACTAGGAGGCAGCCTCGTCCCTCCCAGACCTGTGGAACCTTCTGGAACCGCTTACCATGGACAAAGCTGTCGGGCTGAAAGAGGGCCCCGAGCCTGCTGGAGCGGATGCTGTCCATCGTCCCTGGCTCCAGGTCCACCAGGACCGCCCGGGGCACGTACTTCTTATCTGCAGAGAGAAGTAGAAGTCAGCCAAAAGCATTGTTGTCCTGAAAGCTAATATTTCACCAAATCAGAACTGTGCTACTGGTCCAAAATAGGAGAGGAAGCCAAGAGGTGTTCTGGGCAGGGGGTGCCTGGTCAATGGGGTTTTTACCAGCTCACCACCCCCACATCACACATCACACATCACAGGGGTCTGTGGGGTTCCTCAGAAGGACTACACCACTCGCCTGGTCGCCAATCCTGGCCTTTCCTGCTGAAAACTGTTCCAGTTGTCATTTCAAACACAAAAGGGAAGGAGGTGCTTGAACAAGGGGCCCTGGGGCACCATGGTTCAAGCAGGGCTTTCGAACCCACCAGAGGCAGAAAATGAGACCATCTGTTCTCCGAAAATGACCGGGTTGGAAACCCTAGGGAGCAGTTCCACTCTGGGTACTATGATTTGCACTTGACTCTTGGGCAGTGGGGGTTTAAACTGCCCACCCTCCAGGGCCACCTTCCGCCTCAGTGTGTCCTGGGGGGGAGGGGGGGTCTGTACCATGGGCCTCATTGTAGTACACGCTGATCCTCTCCAGCTGCAGGGCCGAGTCGCCGTGGTAACTCCCCACCGGGTCAATGCCATGTTCCTCGCCAATCACCTCCCAGAACTGGAAACAGAAGAGGGGCAGGGTCCAGGGAAGAGGTCAGCGCCCACCCACAGGCCCCTCCCCAAGATCGTGACTGGGCTAAGTGGCCTTGTTAACACTGGCATTGACTTCTCACCTTCACTAACCGTACATGCACTTGGCCCGCGAACCTGAAGGCTCTGTGCATCAAGGCCTAGTGCCACCCAGGAAAGCACCGGGGTCAGCTCTGCCCCCCGTGCACTTGGCAACGGCTCATGACACCAGCAGGGCCACCGTGGTGGAGAAAGCTGAGTGTTGTGCCCACCCCGGCTCCTGACATCAATCACCAAGCACATAACGTATGAAATTGGATTCTGCTCCTATTAAAATGCAGCCCGTCGTCCCCCCTGAAAGCTGTGGGTTCCGACTTCCGCATCAGAAGGGTCTCTCTGATTTCACCCGAAGTGCTCGCTCCTAACCAGTTGAGTGTGGCACCCAACGCAGGGAGAAAGTAAAAATGAGATGCGCCCTCCTCCCTCCCCTGCCACAGTAACAACGGCCTCTCTCCATGCCTGTGCCAGACAGACCCACCATCCCCCGAGGCTCCGAGGGACGGCACCCTGCTCTTGGGGCCATGCGTGGGGCACGCATGACTATAGACACGCTCCAAGCTCTTCACCTGGAGGCAGGGCCCCGCGATGGCCCCGCTGATTGCCCTGAAGAAGCACATCTTGAAGGGCAATATAAATCTATCCACGTAGGTTGCAATCCCCAAGGGACCTTTCCCAGCCAGATCTCATAAAAAGGTGCTCCGCTCCGGCCCCGGTCTAAATAACAAGGCTGCATTTTATAGTCAATTGTCTGCAGTGTCCAGGAAGTGGGAGAAGTAAACCCAAGATCCCTGACACCACAAATTAAATGTGTCCTCCGGTTGTGATGGCTTCAAACTGCAAGTCCCCATCAGGTGACCCAACTGCGTGGTGAAAGTTAAGACCCTTATCTGGGCCCTGCAGGCCTTCCCGTGCCCTCTCTGCATATCCTCTCCCACCCACCCCGGCATGCCTGGGCATCCAGTCGCCTTGACACTGGCAGGGAAGACTGGCGGCTTTCCAAGCGGTTTCTCTGCCCCAGCTTTTACGCGCACTTGCACCAAAGACGATGTTGCCTTTAGCTCCTTAAAGAGCCATCTCGGCGGGACCCAAGGGGCAGTGGCCGTGGCAGTGGGAAGAGCACCCAGTTCGTGTGAGCAGGCAAGGGCGGCCAGGCTGGTGGCGCACCCGGAAGCGGGTCACAGGTGTCATGGACCGAGCTGAGGTGTGGACACTTCAGAGCAGGCGTGCACTCTCCCCACGTTTTCAGCCACGACACAGAAAGCCGTGGGTCAGACAAGCAGAGAGAGAGAGAGATGTTCCTCTTCCAGACACACAAACCCAACACGCTCACTGCCCTCGCTCTGGCTCATCTCAAAAAGCACAACTGCCCTCCAGTCCCTCCCAGCACACAGCGGCCCCACAGGGCCGGCGGGACTGTCCCTCTGGGTCTCCGAGACTGTAGCTCTCGATGAGAGTAGAAAGCCTCATCTTTCTCATGCAGGGCAGCCGGCGGGGTTTGAACCGAAGACCTGTGGTTAGCAGCTCAATGCGTAACCCCCGACCCCGCCAGGGCTCCCTTCTGACTCATGGCCCTATGCAAAGAGTAGACCACTCATGGGTTTGTTTCCAGGGCTGGTAGCCTAGACGGGCACAGCATTCGCTGCAGGGCAGCGGGTGAGCTCGAACCTCAAACACCTGTAAATCCATGTCAGTACGAGCAAGTCAGACAGACGCTGTGCAGCCTTACTGGCCTTCTTCAGTGTGTGGGTGACCCCGAGGGCCCCCTGAATGAGGTGCTTTCTGGGAAGACGTAAAGGGTGGGGAGGAAGGAGTCCCTGGATGTCCCAGAGGGTGTGTTGCGCTGACCTTCCATGCTGGGCAAGAAGGGTTTATTGTAGGTCCCTCTCTGACGCTTTCTTTGCCTGATACCATGGTTGAGGGACGCTGCTGTGTGACGGGCAGGCAGGTGCGGAAGGGCAGACGCCTGGGTGACACCACACAGCGCACGCAGGGTGGCAGGGTTGTCAGCCAAGGAAGGAAGCCCACGTTGCTGCCAGAGACTCCCCTACCCCCGCGGGTAAAGCTCCTCGTTTATGTGTGAGACAAAGTAACCATTAACAAACTCCCAGGTAAAACGTAACCCTCCGTGTATGTGTGATACAAAGTAACCATTAACCAACCCCCTGAAACGTAGCCCTCTGTGCCTGTAAAGGTGGGGAATGTGGGATGAACAGATAATGGATTATGCCAAGTGAAGTTAATCACCAAAGGACAAATCTTGTGTGAGACCGCTGTCAGGGGAGAGAAAGAAGAACAGGAAAAGATTCTCAGACCGAAAGAAACAGACTTGGCTGGTGACCAGGGTGGGAGGGAGGGCCTGCACGGAAGGGAAGGCTGGTGGGTAGACAGACGTGAACTTGGGTGAAGGGGACGAGGAGTTGGGAGAAAAAGCCAGGAGGAGGTAGGGCAACCCATGGGGAAGTTTGATACATCGTTGGAGTGGTAGAATGCAAAAATGATGATCGGCTTTGAAGACAACACTTCATTCAGAATACGAAGTTTAAAAACCAACCAAAAATAAATAAGAGTACTGGGTCCAATTTTAAGAAAAAGAGAGACCATCGCCAGTAACTCTCAGGAAACGCAGTCACTGCCATTGAGTCGATGCTGACTGGTGGCAATCCCGGGGGACAAGGGACTGTCCCTGCGAGGCTCCAAGACTAACTCTTTACGGGAGGAGAAACTCCACTCGCTCTCTCACAGGGCAGCTGGTGGTTTTGAACTGCTGACCTTACAGTTAGCAGCCCAACGTGTAACCACTACCACCACCCAGGGCTACCTGGAGGCCCTCTCCCATTCCCTGAGTCTCCAGCTAGGGGTATGCCTACTCGACCTGCTTCCGGCCAGTGCATCAGAGCCACCAGGAGTTTGTCTTCCAGCCAGCTGGCCGTGGCGAAGCCGGGCCAGGTCCGGCCTCACTCACCTTGGCTCCGATCTGGTTCCCGCACTGGCCGATCTGGATGTGCACGATTTCACGCATCCTTGCTGGGGGTCTTCAGAATCTGCGAGAGCCGCTGGTCACCCGTGTGAGCCCAACACCACTCTGGGCACTGCAGGGAGAGGGCCAGCTGACCAGTGCGACCTGGGGTGTGCCCAGCCCCAGCCTATCAGCCCCTGGAAGGGGTGTGTTTCTGCTCCCCACAGAGCACTGCCTTGTCATTTCCTAGAGAGCAAACCCGAAGGGCATTTCTGCCCAGTGCACTGGGCCCTCAGTGGCCGGAGGGCCTGCAGTGGCAGCCCGTAGCTCGCCACGTTGATGGGGTCTATCTCCAAGGGTGTCCCCACCCAAATGGCCAGAAGCCATTCGGACCAGCCCGCTCCCACAGAGCATGAGGCCGTGATTCCCAGAGTGGGAAGGGCTGGGACCAGACTCCCCTGGCCGGTGGGAGTGCCCACTTGCCCTGCACCCCTCCGCCAGGCCCCCTCTGTTTCCACCTGCTTCCTGCAGGTGGCAGGAAGCCCCCAGTGCCACATGCTGGCTTTGGGTGGAGCACGCTGGGTACTGATCTGAAAAGGTGTACTTTCTTGTTCATAGCAGAGAAAGCCCTGAGAGTTGTGACCCTCTAACAAGAATGAGAAGTCCCTGGGCGTGCAGACAAGGGACATGCTCACCTTGGCTGGAAGGCTTGAGTCCCCCCCACCGGCGCCTCAGAAGAGAGGTCTGGTGATCGGCCTCCCAGAGGTCTCCGCCTTGAAAGCCCCAGGGAGCATGCTCTGGTTTGGAGAAGAGGCAACTGGGATGCGCCAGCACCCAAGGGAAGGGGACAGACCCCAGGGACCCGGCAGCCAGCACCCTGTCCGAACCGGCTGTTCTGCATGCCTCTCTTCAGTGCCTGTGTCCCACGGCCAAAGTGCACGCTTCACTCAGCCACCAGTGCCAAGTGGTTGTGTGCCGGCCTGCGAGTCCGAGCGGCCCAGGGAAGGAGGCCCGTGCAGTCAGCCTGCACCCAGGAAGCTCTCCTGGGAGCTGGCTTGTGTGGAAAGCGCCTGTCTCCCAGCTGAGCAGAGACCCAGGACATCACCCCACGGGACATGGAGGTGAAGGCCACGGGGTACCTTGGACTTGCTCCGAGGAGACTGACCTGCAGTCCTGTGAAGCGGGTGATGCTGTGGAACAAGGGGACATGGTCGGGGAGCCACCTCTGCTGATTCAGCCCTGAGCTGAAGGGGCCAGAGGTGGGGCTGAGGCTGGCCTGCCACTCCGTCCTCCCTGGTTGCCCCCGCTGGCCTGGGTGGAAGCTGGATGTGGGAGGGATGAGAGCTGCTGGGAAGGACCGTGTCTGGAACCTCGCAGGGGAGTTCCACTCTTCCCTGAAGGGGCTCTGCCAGGAGACCTTCTACTCCTGTAAAGAGTGACAGTCTCAGAAAGCCACAGGGGCAGCCATTCTCTGCCCTATAGGGTCTCCTCTGGCAGGATCCTTGTACTCTGTCCCATAGGGGCTCTGCCAGGAGGCCTTCTACTCCTGTAAAGAGTGACAGTCTCAGAAAGCCACAGGGGCAGCCGCTCTCTGCCCTAGAAATTGAGACGTGTCAGAGTGGACTCAGTAGCAGGGTCCATATTCCTCACTGATGGACAGGAGCCAGTGTGGCCTTCCCCACGGGCTTCCAAGTTGACTCCCAAAATCCAAACTCACTGCCATCAACTCCCAGTGACCCTACAGGCAGAAGAGAACCAGCCCTGTGGGTCTCTAAGATGGTCACTCTGCCCAGGAGTCACAAGACTTATCTTTCTCCCAAGGAACAGCTGGTGGTTTGGAACTGCTGACCTTGCAGTTAGCCGCCCAATGCATAACGCACTCTGCCAACGGAGGAGGGGAAAAGCCAGCTTCCCAGATGTATGCTTAAAGGTTTTCCCGTTAATAGGGCAGTTGGCAAACAAACAAACAAAAAAATGGTTGGGGGGGTGGTGCGGTTCATAGGGGGAAGGAAGAAACCTGTTTGCTTTGAGTCCCATGTCACAGGTGAGGCTTACTTAGGCCCCTGGGTGCTGAATGTGGGACAGCAGGCTCTGGAGAGGCGGCAGGAGGTGTCTGCAGGCCCCCAAAGTGTGTCCATCACCCCGAGCCTGCCTGTGCTCCTCCTCGCTGGAGGGGAGGCCCCCTGAGCTGTGTCTGCCCCTGGAACATAGGTGGGGCAGGTTGTCCAAGGTCGGCTGGGAGAAGGGACAGGCTTCTCAGTCACAGGCCCTTCTGCGCAGCACCTGAGCTCAGCACCCACCACCTGCCAGCACGTGCTCGCTGCTAACCAGAGGCGGGTGGTTCAAACCCACCTGCTCTTCCTCGGGGAAAAGATGAAGCAGTGTGCTCCCCCAAACGATGACAGCCTTGGAGTCTTGTGGCGTTGCCATGAGTCAAGATGAGGAGCCTGGGAGCTCGCGGGGTGGGCTGCACATCAGGTCCAAAGTTCAGCTGTTCAAAACCCCCAGCTGCTCCTCAGGAGAAAGAGGAGGCTTTCCACTCCTGCAAAGTGACAGTCTCAGAACACCCACAGGGGCGGTTCTGCCCTGCCCCACTGGGTCAGTCAGCTGCACGGCGGGAAGCTGAGTCAGAACGTGAGACTCCGGTTTGCATGGAGCTGTGCCGCTCACCGCTGTGGAAGCAGGGCGCACGGGGGCCATCTTTCTGCCATGGACCCCTGGGTGGATCCACAGCACCACCTTCCAGCGAGTGATGGAGCGCTTGACTGTGCGCCATCGGCCCTGTGGGATAAAGGAGGTCTGCTCGAGTCCCAAAGCTGCCCTCTTTAGGGACAGACGGCCCACCTTCTCCTGCCCTTCAGCTGGTGGGACCCAAATCCAGGCCTGCCGGTGTCGAATCAAACCGAAGTGGACATGGCACCCTGTGCGTCTGAGCAGTGCTCACCCCAGGGGTTCCCAGGCAGTGGCCAGCGGCGAACAGAGCCCTAGGCAAACTGGGACTCACTGGGGGGGCAGATGCCAAGACCAAACCCACTGTCCTTGGGTGACTCCGCCTCATGGTGACCTCTGACCTCGTGCATCACAGAGGCTGACGGTGTTCTTGCCAGAAGCCTTACGGAAGCAGGTTGCCAGACTCCTCTTCCACACACCCCCGGGATTGGCAGGCTCAGACCAGCGACCTGCTTTGTAGGAGCAAACTATGTGTCCCACGGACCCATGGTGGACCCACAGGACCGCTGTCTGAATTGGAGATCTAGGCAGAACATAAAGGAGCCCTAAAGATTCAGATGTGACAGTCGGCCTCAAGAAAGATGGACAGCCTTGGAGGCCCTACAGGGCAGTCCTCCTCTGTCCCCCTCTGTCCCCTAGTGTCACCATGAATCGGAGCCAACTCGATGGCAGTGGATTTGGGTAGAACATCAACCACAAAATCAAGCACACTGTCTTCAAGCCGACTCCCTGTGGGCCAGAGAGAGCTGCCCGGGGGCTTCTGAGATTATCATCTTTACAGAGCAATCTGCCTCATCTTTCTTCCAAGGAGCAGCTGGTGGCTTTGAACTTCAGACTGTTCTGTTGACAACTGAACCCGTAAACCCCTGTTAAAGAGCAAAAATCAAACCTACTTCGGTGGACCCAATTCTTCTCAGCAGGGTGGAACTGCCCCCATCAAATTCCCAAGGCTGCCAATCCTTACGGACACCCCAGGGAGTAGCTGACGGCTTTGACTGGCCAATACTTTGGTTATCAGCCAGGCGTTTGACCACTGCGCTACCAGGGCTCCTGGGTGAGAGAGCCCGGTGGTGGGGAATGAAGAAGGTAAGGGAGGCAGCCAGAACTCTAGGAAGGGTTCTCCTCTGTCTGGGTGGCGGCCCCTGGTCCCCACACCGCCACTCTCCCCTAAACCAGGGGGTGATGACCACTACAGCCTTTCTTACAGACTTGGGTGGGGGGCTCAGGAAGGACTGACAAGGGAGACCCCAGCCCTGAGCTGCTGCAAGGGGGTGAGAGTGGCCTTCGTGGCTGAATGCCAGAGGCCGCAAGTGGAATGGCCCTTCCCCACAGACCCACATGGCCCACGGTGGCTGAGGGGACCAAGGACGGTAGCGAGGGCTCCCTGTGTCTGGCCCAGTGGACTCAGAGACAGATAGCTGGCCTTGGCCTCTGCAGGCTGGTCAGCGTCCTTGAGAAGTGCAGTGGCCGCCAGCATCCCGCATGACTCTTGGGTTTATTCTGGGGAGAGCTGAGGAGATAAGGAGCCCCAGCATCACCCAGCGAGCCCCCATCAGCCGCGCCCAGACTTCCCCTCGCGGTCAGAGCGTGCACCCTCCCCCTCTCAATTTGGCAAATGTAATACAACGGACTCCACCAGCCCTCAACTTCCACGTCGGGGCAGGTCCCAAAGTGGAGGTCCCGTGACCAACTCAGGGGAGAGGGTGGAATTGCAGTGTTGGCTTGCAATTCAGAAACAGAAACGCTTCCAAGTGTCTTCTAGGAAGACCACCTGTGAGGGGCCAATATGCCCTGTCAGCTGAGTGGGCAGGCGATGTGAGGCTCACCCCCCACCAACACACACACACTCCTTCCTGCACGGCTCTGCGATGCTCCATCCGTACCGTGACTGTAAGTTCTGGGAGGGAGAGGTGAGGAAGGGGTGAGGGGGGCTGCTGTTGATTACAGAGCTGGCTGACAGCACGGCTGCAGCCTCCCCACTCACGGAGGACGTTGATGGTCAACACTCCAGCTTGCTGGGCGGCCTCTCTTCCCCACGGACCCGCCAGCCTCCCCAGGTGCATCTCCCTCAAGCTCTGCTCCCAGGAGTGTGCGCCAAGGCTATTTTGACTCACAACTAGGCCATGGGAGCAGAACTGCCCCGGGG